CAAAAAAAAAAAACTTGTCGTGATTTCATTTTTCCCACAAACTTTCCAAAGTCCCTCACAGCACTGGATCAGTCCACCGCGAGTCATGCCAGACCACTGGGCTTGCGGCAGCCCTGGTGGACCGGTGTCCCCCGTGGTATGGGACAGCGCTGGCACGCATGCAATGCTCAGCAGACGGAAAGGGCATGCCCGGGGAGCTGAGGGGCACGAGGCAGGAAGTGCAGGACTCACGGGACCTGGAGGCGGAGCAGCTGTGGGAGCCGTCGCACTTGCCAGCAGGAGCCGAGGTGAGGACACACCACGTCTGCTCCACAGCAACCCAGAGAGGGCCTGGGGCACCACGGGAACTGCAGACTGTTGCCGAGTGACGAGGGGGTACAGGAAGAACACAACATGCAGCGTCAGCCCGGTAAGAAAACCAAGATATGAGTGAGCGGGAACACGGTAGGTGTGGGTGCCGTGTACACCATCGCACGAGGCTGACGCACGTGGGAAGGTTCGGGGTTTGCATCCAGCGACCTCCCTCAACAGATCGGGCTACGAGTGTCCATGATCGGGCCGGCTGAGGTGCAGGTGGATCGTGGCATGAAGTCTCCATTAGTGGAGCCGCCTCTCTCTCCCTCTATCTCTCCTCCATGGAGAAAAGAAAGAAAGAAACTTAAAAAAAAAAAATAGCCATGGTAGAGTCCATGGGCTAGGGAAAGCCTCGGACCCAGGGGCCAAGAGTCGCATTACGGTCCTCAGGAGCTTCGAGGCGGGTCATCCCGCTTTTATGCTCTGGTCTCTGTCAGTGAGATCCTCTCCTTTGTGCTCTAAAGGACAGGACGTGCTACAGACAGGAAAGGGAAGGAGCAGGGCCAGGGGCGCCGTCTGGGACATGAGCGCTCTGGGAGGCGGAAAAGTCGGCATGTGTAAACGCGTACAGAGCCCTGCGGAGGCGCAGGCCCCCGCTCCGTGTGGACGGACAAGGGGAGACCTTCACTGTCCCAGATGCATGGGATTCTGACATGAAAAGCCCGAGTGGGTGATCAGGCCCAGAGGGCGGGCTCTAGTGTCATTGGGAAGGTGACAAAGCAGGAAGGGAGGACACAGGTGGCCTCACAGAGGGGCGGGGCAGGAAGGAGGAGGCACCGCCCCATGCCCGACCCTCTGGGGCCACATTCCCGGGAAGCACGTGCTTAGAAACACCACGCGTGATTTCAGATTGCTCTGCACTAAGATAAACTCATGCTTGGACGCCGCCTTCCCGTGAACTTTCTGAAGCCCACTGTATGAAGGGTGTTCTCCTCGTGGGTGGCCCAGGCCACATCGAGAGGCAAGCGGGACACGGAGGACTGAGGTTAAAGGGAGACACGGCCACCCCGGACCTCGGCAGGACGGAGGAGGAAGGCGAGCAAGACGCCGCTGCGCCGGAGGGCTGCACGGGCCGGCACGCGTGTGCTCGGGGCGCCTCTGCGTGTCGGACACCCCTCGGAGCACCCGATGGGCTTGGCTCCAGCCCTCCAAAGAGGACGAAGGGTAGGGGAGCAGCAGGATGTGCACGTGTGCATGCGTGTGCACTCACGTGTGTGCACGCATGTGTGTGTGTTTACATTCCGGGGACAGGACTCTGTTACCCACCTCGTTGGACTTCGAGTTTTATATTCAATGAACTTGAGTAAAAGAACTTCACTAAGCATTCCAGGGTCGGGGTTTCCTTCTAGTAAGTTATGAGAGTATTTGGGTCAAAAGTCTCCAGTGCCTTCCGCTATCTACAGACCTGGGCTTCAAGTGAGCACGGTTAAGGTGGACAGGAGTGGTGCACAGTGACCATTCTGAACGGCCCACGCGCCCGGGGACGAGGCCCAGAAAGGGAGCCACTGGGATTAAAGCAAACACACTGCAAACGGGAGGGCAGCGGGCTCCGGTCCCCTCCAGGCACCACGCTGACCTGCTGCTGACGGGTCACTCATGCTGTCACCGTGGTAACGATGGCAACAAATGGCCACGCAGCCCAACACAGAGATTTCAAACAAAGCAAAACAAATGTGGCCCCACATGAAAATACCAACACACGCTTGTGTGTCAGTCTGCTCCCCAGCAGGGCCTTCCAGGAGTCAGTCCTTCCCACGTTGACGGGGGGATGGGGACTAAAAGCCCAGCGCAGGGGACGAGGCAAGGGACGTGACTCGATGGGACGAAAGCTCAATGCCGGCCATGGCCAAAGGAGCCAGTGGGAGGCCAGCCACGAAAGACAGCACGGGCGTCGGCTCCTCATTCAAACTCCCGTGGCAGACCTCTTCAGACCTACGCGGATGCTAGCCTAACACGGCGAGCACAGAACGACGCCGCCATACAAAAGAAAGACCCACGTGAGAAGACCCGGCGTGGCCGCCATACCGAACGGCAGTCTAAATGCTTTGTTTCTGAGCTTTATTGTGACCAAGGCAAAGTGTGGTCATTTGACAAAAATCAGCGAGGAAGGACGTAACTCCAATACTCATAAAATGAAGCCCTCAGACAGGAGCAGACCCGCCAGGTGCAGCTACTGAGCCTGCCAGGCTCCAGGACGAAAAGGATCAATGTGCCTCGGCAGCCGCGACCTTGAAGGCCACGCTCTGTGCTTCACATCCCCACGGGGCTGGGACGGGGACGGGACGGGGACGGGGACGGGGACGGGGACGGGAGGCCCTGAGGGCTCTGAGGAGCATGTTTCAGACATGACAATGACACGTGAAAACAGAAGCCAGGACGGCCTAGTTTACATCAGAACATCACGCCGGATGGAAAGCCCAGTTAGTTTTGTGACTCAGCAACACTTTGTGAGTTGAAAAGAATGAAAGAGATTACAAAAGGACAGCCCCGTCCTAAGTGTATGTATGTACACATTTGCTTTCTTTAATTGAACGGTTACGACCTTTTTAAACAACAGCAAAAGCAACCTCTTGTAAGTCTCTCTGCGACCAAATATGCTTGAATCAGTCTTAAAAAAAAAAAAAAGACATAATCTTTAGGGTGGCAGTGTTCAGTTGTTTTAAAGACGGTATTCCAAAAAAATGAGCACAGGGTTTCCCACATAGACGTGCGAACCTCCTGGCTACCCCAACTTTCCGGGAGGGCGTCCTCGGGCAGGTCTGCAGGCATCTCCCCAGCCACTCCGAACGCACAGCAGTGACCGCGAGGCCGGCCGAGTGGCCCTGAGCAGCCCTAAATCGTGTCCACTTACTGCAAATGCCACGGGCCTAATGTCCTGGCTCAGGGAGAGACCAGGACAGAACGCGGTGGGATGGTGCACTATTCAAACGCTAGGATGGTCTGCCTGCCCTGCCTGCGTTCTGGCCGGTCCTAGAGCAGGAAACCGTGCTGGCCACGGCTGCGTCTGCTCGGTTCCCTCAGATGACAAAGGGCAGGACCTAGCAGAATGTCCTAAGGGCCATCTTTCTCTCTGGGCAGCTAAGCCTTTCTGAGCACATCTGCATAAAGACCGAAGTCCGGAAGGGCAGGGGCCTAGCAGCCTTGTCCTGGAGAATCCTGCTGCTCCGAGCAGGATGTGCGTCTGCGGGTCCTACCTGTCCTTTCCTCTGCGCATTCTTTCCTGGTCACTTTGCCAGGTGGGGAGAGGTGGCAAGCCCAGGGATGGCTGTCACACCTTTAATGATGCTTCAGAGATATGAAACAGACACAGACCAGTGTCTGCAGGAGGCAGGTGCTCCCTAGAGGTCCCTGAGAAACAAGCCTCGGTTTTCATATTGCCAGAGAGGCCGGTGTGTGTGAAACGACCTGGAAGCGGCAGACAAGGGCGTCCGTTTCCACGGCAGCCCGTGCTGAACTGAGCGCTGTGTCTGAAAAGTAGCTGTGCTCCCGTTACCTGCGGAGGCCACAGGGCAGGGCTGGCTTTTCATCAGACAAGCCTTGCCTTCGACTCTGCATGCCAGGAGAGTTCACCTGTGCGGTGAAGAATCGCTTCCCTCATCTTCTTCTTCCCTTAGAGAACAGCGGCAAAGGCACAAAGCCATGGGCGGTGGGGAGCACGGAGAAGCTGGAGCTGTGGCACGGGGCTACAGAAGACCCCTCCCACGGCGCTGATGCCCAGAGCGCTCCAGCTGGTCATGCCTGTCCTGTGGATGCTCTGCTGTGCGGCTCTGGCAGTGACCCCTGCAAAAGCAGTGGCTCGTTCTGGACAGACGTGGGCGCTCGCTCCTGTCCACCCACTAACTACACCACCTGCCGCAACCTGGCAGGGAAGACGACACACGTCCCAAAACAGACGCAGCCCACTAGCGGGTCTCAGACGGCCTAGTGACGGCCAGGGACGCGATGAGCACATGACTACACAAGGCACAGCCCTCGGGGGAGAAGCCCTCTGTGCAGAATCGAACCACGTCCTGCACACAATGACACTGTCCCTGCGAGTGCTCGCTCATCAAAACCTGAGCCGGGCAGGACAGCTGGTCTCATGCTGCTGAGGGCTGGGGGACACCATGAGTGACTTACGGCTCGTGGCAATGTCGGGGACAACCAGCTAGTCTTGGGTGAGGAGAAGCAGCACAGAACAGCAAGAATCTGGCACAGAGGGAAGGTGACTGGCAGCTGGGGTGCCAGGGGGCAGAGGGTGACAGGGAGGTGACAGACAGTCTACAATGGGATCAGAAAGGCATCACAAGATGCCCACTGGTATGTGGAAGTCCTGCCTGCATAGTGAAGAAAGGACTGGCTGATGCTTTCGGTTTTAAAAGCATCAGAAATAAACTGAATTCAACTGAGTGCCAAGCATGACTTGCAGATGCTGAAGTTTGGGCTCCGCCAGCCGGGACTGGGCCATCTGGCTGCAGGGGCTGCTCCCAGACCGTGCGGTGCCAGACCTTTGCAAGATCACTACTCCTCTCCCAGTGCCACCCGCACCTTGGTCACATGATTTGCTTAAACAAAAGCATGCAGTGAAAAGCAGGGTGGGGAGACCTGGAGGGAGCACACCTTTGGGGACCTCCGCCCACCCTGGCCCTGGCTGCCCATCTACTCACAAAGTTTGGGGGCCGTGTGCAGATGCGTTTCTGTCGTCTGGGGCTGAGTTGCGGACTTGGGAGGTCTCACCCCTGGGCTCCGCGTGGGTGGCAGGAAAGAGAAAGCAAAACCACTGTGCTTCGGGGTGGGTGCGGCGGAGGGCTGGGCCGGCTGGGCGGCATTGTCACCTTGCACTGTAACTTGAACCTCAGTTCCAGACTGAGCCCTGGAGACCGGTGAGGTGTCTGCCTCCGATGCCGCCAACACAGCGGAGGCAGCGGTCGGGTCCAGGGAGAGGATGGGGTCCTGGCCCAGGCCCCCGGGGCCCAGGTGGGTAGGAGAGTCGTACTCAAAGATCTTGTCCACGAACACCCACTTGAGGCCGGCAATGCACAGGCAGAGGCTGGCCAGGCAGACCAGGACCGGCAGGATGCAGATCTTCTCTGAGTTGAGGCAGCCCCTCAGGCGCTCTGGGTCCAAGCACACGCAGCACGGCAGGGCCAGGCCGGCCAGCCCCCGGCTTCCTGCGGCCCCCCGCCCGCCATGCGT